TTTTGTATTTTGCAGCGTTTTAAGACTATAGCCATTCTCACCAAGTAGTCTCAGTGCTGTGAGGTTATGTCTCATCTTTGCGACTCCAAAAGTATCTTTCATTGATTGCTTAAAGGTTCTTCTATAGATTGCAAAGGTTAAGCATTTGGCGTTCAGTGCTGCATGCCAGCACTACAGTCTATTATAGCTTCTACATACAAACATCAGCTGAATCTCCAAACAGTTAAATTAAATTAAAATTAAATTATTAAATATGCAGCTTCAATATCAAGACATATTCTCTTCAAGGTAAAGGTTTATAATTTACATGTGTATGCGGAGCACACCAGGCTTCCTTGGTTCAAAGGGAAGTTAGGGTAGACTGAATTTGTGCTCCAGATTTTTTTTCAGCAAATGTCCAAATGGTAAATGTTAGGGCCCCAGTCACAGAAGCCTAGAGACCAACTGGTGACCATTTGGCCACGGTTCACCCCAAACCAGTTGCAAGCGTTGAGTGGCTGGATGTTGCTTGTTGTCCCTATGTGAAATATACTGTATTTCAGTATTGCACCAAAAACCACATTGTGATGCCTTTGGTCGTGAGCAGATTGCCTCTTTGTGACCAGTTTCACTCATGAACCTCCAACTTCATCAACCAGTAGAGGACTACACGTTTTTCCCTAGTGACCAGAAGTTGGCAGGGGCTGCAGACTGGTCTCTAGGCCTGTGTCACTGAGGCTTTGAAGTAATTTGGAAGATGCATGAGAAAAGCCAAAGGAGGACGTAGGGATCGATAGAGGGGTTAAAAAAATGTTTTTTGAATTAATATGATCCAAGAATATGTTGTCTTATTTTATCAAAACTGTTTCAAAAACTTACTACAAAGCACTTAATTTAAAGGACCCTTTTATGTACTTTAGAGAACCATGCACACAGAAGGAAACTAACAGTGAGACCAGAGACCACAGAGTGTCAGTGAAAATGCAGGGATTTGAAGTGATGAAGAATTCAAATTTAAACTAATATTGGGTTTCCTTGCTTGCTGTTCTGGATTAGAAACACACCAGGTTTTAGATGCCTCTAAATTGGCTTCATTTTTCTTGAACACCACATGCATCTTTTATAAAGTGTTTTAGACACAAGATTTAAACCACTCACAGGTGAAGTAAATAACACTCATTATCTTGGCATAACCCATGTTCAGCTAGTTTGCTGTGTTCATATAGACCTTTGACACAAGCAGTGATGCAGACCATGAAAGACATTCAGAAACAGACTTTAGAGGGAAAACCAGCACACCGCAGACCACGGCCTCTCTGTGTGAGGATCTAAACGTATTCTACGCTAGATTCGACACAGCGAACACCATGAGACCGGACAGTGTGCGCACCGCGGATGACGTCAGTGCGCACACTGTGTCTGAGGAGGATGTGCGGAAGTGCTTCAGGAAGGTGAACGCGCGCAAAGCTACTGGTCCGGACGGGATTCCCGGCCGCGTCCTCAAGTCATGCGCGGCTCAGCTGGCTGGAGTGTTCACACACATCTTCAACCTTTCCCTCTCTCTGTCTGTAGTCCCAGCCTGCTTCAAAATGGCCACCATCGTCCCTGTACCCAAATCCTCCACCATCTCCTCATTGAACGACTGGCGACCTGTAGCCCTGACCCCCATCGTAAGCAAATGCTTCGAGAAGCTGGTCAGGGACTTCATCTGCTCTGCACTACCCGACTCACTGGACCCTCTACAGTTCTGCATACCGCCACAACAGGTCCACTGATGATGCCATAGCCCTGACACTACACACTGCCCTGTCACACCTGGAGAAGAGAGACACGTATGTGAGAATGCTGTTTGTAGATTACAGCTCAGCATTCAATACCATCGTTCCCTCGAAGCTGGACAGGAAACTGCAGGATCTAGGACTGAGCAGCTCCCTCTGCAGCTGGATCCTTAGCTTCCTGTCTGACAGACGCCAAGTGGTCAGACTGGGCAGCATCACCTCATCCCCCATCACACTGAACACTGGTGCTCCACAGGGGTGTGTACTGAGCCCTCTCCTGTACTCACTCTACACCTACGACTGCACAGCCACTAACAACTCCAACATCATTGTGAAGTTTGCGGACGACACTACAGTGGTGGGTCTTATCACCAACGGTGATGAGACGGCTTACAGGGAGGAGGTCAGCGCCCTGACCCACTGGTGTCAAGACAACCATCTCACCCTCAACGTCGCAAAGACAAAGGAGTTGATAGTGGACTTCCGGAGGTGCAGAGAAGTACACACCCCCATCACCATCAACGGCGCTGCTGTGGAGAGAGTGAGCAGCTTCCGGTTCCTTGGAGTACATCTGGCTGAGGATCTTACGTGGTCAGTACACACAAACAAAACAGTGAAGAAGGCGCAGCAGCGCCTCTTCTTTCTCAGGAGACTGAAAAGATTCGGCATGAGCCCCCGCATCCTCAGGACCTTCTATCACTGTGCCATTGAGAGCATCCTCACTGGATGCATCACCACCTGGTATGGCAACAGCACCGCCTACAACTGCAAAGCTCTCCAGCGAGTAGTGCGGTGCTCTGAACGGATAATTGGAGGTGAGCTTCCCTCCCTCCAAGACATCTACAGGAAGCGGCTGCCTGAGGAAAGCGGGGAGGATCATCAAGGACTCCAGTCACCCCAGCCATAAACTGTTCAGACTGCTTCCATCAGGAAGGAGGTTCTGCAGCATCCGGTCCCGTACCAGCAGACTGAGAGACAGCTTCTTCCACCAGGCCATCAGACTGCTGAACACGTCATAGACACCTCAGCTTCACTACTGGAACTTCAACATTATGCACTCCACACTGTATATAAATGCCACTTGTTTTGCACATATTCAACTCTGTATATTTTATATATTTTATTATTATTATTATTATTATTATTATTATTTTTTTTTACTATTTAATTTGTAAAAATGTGTATACACACACACACACACACACACACACACACACACACACACACACACACACACACACACACACACACACACACACGTAGGAAAATATTTAGTATACACATCCAGAAATGCATACACTATTATATATTGTACATATATTTATTAGTTTCAGGTTGGCCATTCTTGTATTTTGCTCGTTTGTGTTGTTGTGTTTGCACATCTCTGTTGCTTGTGGGGCTCGCACACAAGAATTTCACTCGCATGTGCTGTGCCAGTGTGCCTGCACATGTGATGTGACAATAAAAGTGATTTGATTTGATTTGATTTGATTTTTGAAATCACTTGAAGGTGGAAGAATTCAGATTTTGATTGGCAGGATTTCCCACACTGTCAGTCCAATATCGAGCATGCTGAAGCCGGGGGCCTCAAAGTGACACTTTCAACTCATCCAATCAATCAATAGGTAAGAAATATGAACTTAATGGGAGAAAATACCCTAAATGAAATGAGATAGCGTCAATGAGCAAAAGAAAGCCATAGAGGTCAATCATTATCTTTTCTATGAATTCATGATTTGTTTAAGTGTGTACTGAAAACCTTGAATACTAATGAAAATAATAAGTGCTCTGAAACATGTTCAAACCCGGAGACAACCTTTAAATGAAATGAGGATCAAGATTCTGCCACTGCTGTTGTAACACAATTTCCATATCTATCATATAGAAAATGTCTTCCAAAGGGCATAATTCAGCAGCATGCTTGGCTGCCCAATGAGAGACAAAAGCTTTGTCAGGTCGTATCCCCTTCTCTAATCTCTCTTCATGGAATAATCATACATTTAATGAGCTGAAACAATGTAATTATGAAATTGGCACAGCCATTCTTCTGCCGAGGTATTGTAATATGAAAAGTCCTATTAAAAGTGTAATGTTCTCTCTTGCACATTTTTAGTGAATTGACATATTCCATCTCCTTTCAATAAAGCCTCTCACCATGTTAAAAGGGCAATTAGAGCTATGGGTTAGTAAGCACAGCAAAGATTCACTTCACTTCCTCTCTTATTCACTAGTTCTCTCCCTGACATTTTCTCCCTCCTCTCGTTTCATAAAACAAGCCGTGTGCTCATAAAAGTTTAGTTGTAGAAACTTGCTCATATTGCTGTGCCTGAAATTGTGGTGCTATAAAGTGTAATTGCGATCCCGTTTGCGTAGAAAAGGTGAACATTGACTTGCTCCGATCAATAAAACATCTTAGAGTTTAAAGATATATTCGATCTCTAGGGCTCATTGGGCCTCACAATCTATTATGGATTGCATCTTTCATTCGCTGAAGATCTGCAGAGAAAGAAACAAGGCAGCTACTTGTAATGGCTCTTAAAACAGGAGCACTAATTTAGCATCACAGATGAGCTGCTTGTGACCATATTGCTGCCGTGAAGGTAAGGAAACTTTGTGACTTGGGTCATACTTGTCTGTATTTGTCTATCTGGACATTCATGCAAATGACTGTATGTTTGATAACATTATAGTTCATATGATTTCAGAAAACTTTCAACAGCTTTTATTGTAAATAATGTTTTTCAATCGAAATGTATAGAATTGCATAATGTTTTTATTTTGGAATGGTTTAAAGTGAATTTTGCCTCCAAGTGTCACAAGTATCTAGACGGTTCTAGCCCTAAAAAAATGACAATAAAATAGGTTGACAGTATTTTCTGATTTGTAGTACTATGCAAATCTTTTTTTCCTTCCTGTTTTTATTTTAAAGTAATTAAACCAATATCAGAGGAATTTTTTTTTGTTTGTTTGTTTCTTAAGCCACAAAATCTAAACGTTTTTGAAAGAAAAGCCCACAATGCAGTGCTATCAGTCATGGTCGTGAGAACCAACATCCAAAGAGCTTTGAATGCCCTTCAAGTCTCGAGAACTGTGTGCCTCTGCAATGTTCATATTTCAGTGGTTTTGCTAAGCCCCACTTGGCTCACTAACTCTGCTACAATATTTTAAAAAGGTGGATTATCAACATTATTTCCTCCCTTGACAGAGCTTCAAACAATTCTCTGGTTTCTAATTTGTTCTAAAATAGTACAAAAGTGTTCCTCATCCTTGTTTTTAAAGTAACAAGTGAGACTTTAATCAAAGAAGCGCTCTGTGTTTTGACAGTGTAATGATACAGACACAAAGTTAATGGCTCTCATAAAACTCCATGAGAGCGCACTCTTCAGTCTGCTTTTCCAACATTTCCTTATTTGCTCTTGCTTTGATTTTGAGCAGAGTTTTTTCACCTGGTTTTCTCTTTCACTTCTCTCTGCTCTGTAATTTTTTTCATACCACTGTTACTTTCACTTTTTCCCCTTTCTAGTCTGTATTTTCTTTCACACTTTAACACTGCTCACATTATTCCTTATCACATTATTCCTTTCTCTCACCTTTTCACTGGGTTAATTTCAATTACAAGAATACAAATTGAACGAGTTCCACAGTAATTTAGTAAAGGCAGGATCTCAGTTTGTGGCGTCTGTAATCAGAACTCTTTGCTATCCGATTCTGCTGCCATGTTAGACTTCCTACTCGTCTCGCTTAGTTTTTAATCATCCTTTAAAGGCAAAACACATTTTCCACCTTAAGTTCAGTGGCCATGGTGCTGTTTTGTAGATTGAGGCGTTTCATCTATAATGAATAGTATTCATGACTCTTCGAGAACAGACCGTTTCATTTCATAGAGGATCAATAATGTGTTAAGAAATCGTCACCTTTTACCACTGACTGCCATAAAACCATGCAGATCACATCAAGCTGTAAAAAAACATTTTTATACACAATTATAGTATTCAAGTATTCATTTCTATCAAAGTTGAGTAAATTGTATAGGGATGAACACAATTTGTGTAAATCTCTGCTTTTGCCAACTTGCTCAGCAGCTTTTAAAATGTTTCACGAAGGCGGTTTATTAAATTTGGGAAAGTCTGCATATTAGGAGCCCCAGGCAAGGTTACTTGAGTTTGCATTACTTTTACCAAAGCCACTGATTAATCCTCATTGTCAAACTATTTTCTACAGTGGCCCTGAGAGCTAAATGAACTGCAACTTGAAGTGAGCTGTAAACCAAAATTAGAAACACGCTGAAACAAAGAGGATCTACATTTCCCCGTGGTGTCAAATAGTAAAGCTTTTTTCTGAATTATCTTGCTTTTAAAATTTGCAGATGTCTTCTCAAGCTGCAGCAAGTGCAGCTGTCAGGTCAACTGTACTTTGTTTTTGTAAACTATATTGACAAATGTACTGGGACACCTACACATTTCACCTACAGGAGCTGTACGGCCATGGTAAGTCTTGCCAAGCTACACCATTTTTGGGCTGGAGTTAAAGCCAGAGGAGATTTGAAACTCTGCAGTTATTGAGTCAGCAAAGCTCTGGTGACTTTCATGCACTATGCACCTCAGCACTCGCAACCCCGCTCTTTAACTTTACATGCTCTGAGATGCTGTGGTTCCTAAACACTTCAACTTTTCAATAATACAACTTACAGCTGATTGTAGAATAACATAACCTGACTTCTTGCAAAGATTGCATTCTATTGCAGTACCACACCTTCACTAATGTTTGCAAAAAGCAGACTGCAAGAGCTTGAATTTATATACCTGTGGTAATGGAAAGTATAAACACCTAAATTCCAAGGCAAAGAAATAGCTAAATAATTTTGTCCACATAGTGTAACTTGAAAAGTGAATAATAGAAGATATACAATAAATCTGACAGCTCTATATTCTTCACCATGATTGTCAGCTAATCATTGAAACTGTGACATTTTTCTTATTAGCCAAAGATTAAGGTTTAGATTTTTTAGTTTTTAATGTTTTCACATTTTTAAAATGCTAAATGAGTGAATGCTTAAGTCAGTTCAGTCAAATAATTTTGTAAAAGCAAACATTGTAACTGCTTTAATTACCTTTGTCTCAAATCAAAGACCAGTTTTCACTAAATATCTTTGAAAGTCATTGTTTAGGCTGAGAGTAAGAAAAAGGAATAGTTCTTCCATGTGTTTTTGCACAGCTATGTTGAAGTGGCTTCTTTACTAACTTGGGATCTGAGGCTGATATCAGTGTTTGGTAACAATGTGCCTTGGGAGCATCGCTGTCTCACCTCATTTTGTTGATAAAGCACCAGTGTCTCAGTTCACCTGTATGTAAAACTTCAGTGTAGTCTCAGTTGGTTGATCAACTATCGTTAACTCACCTCATTGGTTGAGAGAACAGAGTCTTCATCCAGACTGAGGACTGCGTCGGTGATGATGGCGTCATGGGGGAAAAAACGACTGCTCATCGTCTACAGGCAGAGAGAGAGGAAATGGTTTGCACTACTGTTAACTGACAAACTTTAAGGAGTCTGAGCTTTTTTAGGGATCAAAGAAACCTATAATACACATTATGTATTTTAAAGGTATAGAGTTGGTATAGCAATATAAAGAAATCTATAAAAAATAAAGGAAAAATAGTTTCACCACCCCAACCCCCAACTGTGTGTTTTATCATTCACTGTGCTCACTTAATAGGTTTTGTTTGAGTTCTGATCAATTCAGTGCCTAACAGAAAGCATGCAACAGGCCCTGATCCATTAGCCCAAAGATCGCTGCTGCTGATGTTATTGACTCATAATTAACGTGTGAATTATTTAACTGTTTGTGAGGAAAAGTAACAAGGGCATAAGTAATTGGTGAAAAATAGGTTCAGTTGAGGTTTCAAACAACCTGCTCCCAGGCTCAGCACTCAGGATCTTTCAAAATCAGTTATCTTAAATGTGAGTGGGTAGCAAAGAACGAACAAGTCAGTATGATGAACCTCAGACAAAGCATGTAATTTATACATTCACCGGCCACTTCATTAGTTGCACTTCTTTAACAGTCACAACTCATTTATGCATGTAAGCATGGTCCAAAAAATCTAAATGAGTAACAGAATGATGAATTACTCGTACGTGGCATGGTTGCTGGTGCCAGACAGGCTGATCTTAATACTTCAGGCAGTGCTGAAAATGTCCCTACGGTGATTTAGCACACAAACATCTCTAGGGTTTACAGAGAAGGGTCTGAAAAACAAAAATATCAACTGAGTGGCAGTTCTCTGGGTAAAACTGCCTTGTTGATCTCAGAGGTCACTACAAGGTCATTACAACCAATTTATGCAGAAGAGCATCTCTGATCACATGGCACCCCTAAACTTGAAGCAGATGGGCTACGAAAAGCAGAAGATCACAGGTTTGATGGTGAAGGTGTAATTGTGAGGGATATATTTTCTTGCCACACTTTGGGCACCTTACTGCCACTTGGGATGTCATCCAATGGAGGATTAAGATTATGTTTTAGCTGCAAATAAATCTGTAGCAACGGTTATGATCTCAAAATGGTCCAAAATCACTATAAGGAATGTTTCCAGCACTTAGTTGAATATATGCCATGAAGAAGGCACAAAGTGGCTGTTTGAGTGTATACAATATTCTCAACAAAAATATTTAAATCCATAATATTAGCTCTGTAGCAACATATAGCGAGAAAATATATTTTTGCTTCATCTTTAACTCACCCAGAAAGATTATCTTTTCGACTGGAATTATCTAAAATGTGCTTGTGTAAAATTTGCAACCCTTACAGCTTCCTTTCAATTATTTCAAGATTTTATGTCACTGAAATGAAGTGTCATGCCACAGTGGTGATGTTTTACATGGATTCATGACCTAAAAAAGAAAAGTAAATTAAATTTACACCCCCAGGGGTAACATTAAGAGGCTTATTTTGTCAAGTAAGACCACAAATCTCCACAAGCTTAATGTCTACTTCCATTTCAGCCTAATGATCTGACGGATGCTGAGATGAAATTTATTAGGAAATTAAGCGTAACATCAAATGAATTTCAACACAAATCCCCGACATTCTTTCAAGTATTTGAGAATGCCACATCAAATTCTGCATTAAATCACTGCTTAAAGAAAGAACTCCTGGCAGAAAATGTGTTTTTCTTTGGATGGTTGCCCTATAATCAGGAGACATGTACCTTATTCAGTCAGGACAGTGTTCGCATTAGCCAACAGCTTCTCAATTTCCTCAGGAAAAGCCACATGGCAGTGAAACAAGTTGCTAAATTAACCACAAAAGCATGCCCGACAATCTGCTGCATTTTCCAGACTTAGTGGTGGGAATGTATTAAATCAAAGTTGCATGCACACATTTGCATAGTCAATGTGCATATAAATAGGCATGACAGTCTAATCTTGCATACAGTCTTTACATTTTTTCTTCACTACATTTCCAGCATCTGAAGGACATCATTTTCAAAATTTATCGCTTATTTTATCATCATTTTTCTTCTTTCTTCTTTCACTAAATTAGAAATATATTTCTTACACACACACACACACACATATGCACATATTATGAATCGTCCTGGAAATCAACATTAACATATGCCAAAGCAAATTCATACAATTATGGTTGCAGATTCAGTAAGAAATTAGTCTCCTCCTGAAGTCAATATGGATTAAAAGTCAGAGAAAATATCACATCTGCATGTTTTATGGCAACTTAGGAAATACAATCTGCTTTCATTAATAAGGGCTGCAGTTGAAATCATTTTATCAAAACTTTTGCTCTTTTGTCCTGTGTAATTGGTCAGAATTGTGGTCCAACTATACTTGATTTTTCTTTTTTACGTTTTTCACTCTTTTCAGTTTTAGATCTAAACTGTAGTAAGTCAAGGACTATGGGACTGATTAACTTGCCACAATTTCATTGCAATCTATCCATTCACTGTTGCATGTTTCCATCTCTACATGGAATTTAATTTGTCCACTACTTTAGTTTATGACCAAATACAGTACACATAAAAAAGCGAATTTTAGTACTTTTGCATTTGTGCAAATTACCAGTTTGCTAACAGACTAAACTGATATGGTGAACATGTCGAATGTACATGCCATATCCATGTTAGCATATGGGTGATAGCATTTTAGCACTAAGCAGCATGACTGTAATCTCTTGAAGCCTCAGTCTGTCATGTACTGTGTGCAGGCAGGCAGGAATGGTGGCCCCAAAGTGTAGACTCCAGCAGGCAAACGTGAACTCAAAACTCAGCTTTATTTCCTGGATGGCAAAAAGAACAGAAAGCTAACTAAACTGGAAATATAAACCAAGCACAAACAGGCTGATAGGCAGAACACACAGCATGGAATACGGGAGACCACAACACAGAAAAAGGAAAACACAGGGCTTAAATACACAGAGGAGCAATCAGGGAATGGGAGACAGGAGGGAAACACACCTGGGACAAATCAGGCCTAACGAGACAAGCAAAGCAAAACCAGACACATTAACATAAGACACGGACCTACGAAGTAAAACAGGAAACACGGACTGAACTTGCAGACACAGACTCACAAGCAGACACTGCACCATAGGGAACACAGAGATGTAGGACCAGGGCAGACACAGAGACACACACTGGACACAGAACAGAGGGAGTATGGAAACCATAAGAACTACAAAATCACAAACTAAGAACAACTGGAGAAATGCAAAACAGAAACCAAAACCCTCACAGTCATAAACCAAGATGAGAACACAAATAAAAGTACAAAACTGAAAACACTGGGTCAATGACCCAGGTACCCTAACACAGTCAGACAAGCCTGGAAACTAGTTATGACCGCCTGTCTATGTTGGTCACTAGAAAAATGGGCTGGTAACTGGTTGCTGGAGGTTGCTTGCTGGGTGAAATAATTCGTAAAGGGCTCCACCACCACCTATGTGATTGTTACAACTTAAATAAGTGTGACACAAAGCAGAAATGGAGAATGTTCACCTTCAAAGTAAAGGTTGTGCCTTATTGCTGCAACCACCACATTTCAAAAAGGAAAGCTTCTACTTTCACTTTTACACTTTTCACATTTTTACTACAGCTTGGATAGTAGTTTGTGAGAGTTCGGTGTCTTCCAAACAAAGTACTGGTGACCAATACAGCCTGCTAGCGACCTGCGCAATCTCAACGACATTTGTGTTGCAGCATCATATGTCTCTTTGTAGCCAATTTCAGCTAGTCCCACTAAAAAGCTACAGCAACCATTAGCCAAATACAATTTTTCACTAGTAACTGGTGATTGCCATAGAATGACTGGGGCCTAAAACATGATTTAGAAAGATTAACACAGTAAATCTACTTTTTACATCTTAGCATTCACTGTATTTTACCATAGTTTTGTGTATAGTGCCCTCTATGCATCTATATAAAGACTTTATAAAAGTTTCTTTGGGCTGAAAATTGTCCAACTTAAGCTCAACTTAAACTTGCTTAAAACACAAAACAGTACCCTTCAGCAGTAGACATCGGTATTGGCACTAGCCCTCAAAACCTCTTACTGGCTAAAATTTACCACCCTTCCATCACACAACCATGCTTCCCTGTGGAGTTTCTGCCTCTAGACAGAGATTAGATCCCACTTAAATCTCGGGCAGTTCAGTGGTCTGAACTTTATCTTTGTTGCTCTCGTTCCACTCATTTCCTCTCTTTATGTTTGCCATGACTTCTGTTACTTAAAGGATAGTCTTTGGAGATGTCTTTTCTGATTCTATGCCATTGATATATCAAGAAGTTTCTAAGTTAAAGTTAAAGGTCAAAGACCATCTGGGTATCTGAAAGATGATCATAACCTATCAACAGCCATTTTCTCTCATGATGAATAGTTTACTTGAACAACAATAGTTATATTTGTAGTTTAAGAAGAGTTATACTATTGGTAATGAAGACTTTAATAAATCCCTCATCCCCATATCCAAACAATATTTCTGGTTATTTGCAATTTCGAACTGCAATAATATGCTAACAATGACTGTTTTTTTTACAATGTCATTACAATAATTTAAACAATAGGACTCAAAAGTACAAAGCTTTTCAAGGTTGTCAATAGTCAAGGTCAATAGTGTGTGAATGGGTGAATGACTGGATGTGTAAAGCGCTTTGGGGTCCTTAGGGACTAGTAAAGCGCTATACAAATACAGGCCATATACCATATATAATAAAGTCAAAGTCAGCTGAGTATTGTGCAGTAAAAAAGGGGAAAAAACAGCCATGTGCTAGTCATGTGTTTGCGCTGACACTGACATAAATGAGGTTAAAAAGCCACTAAACTATAATTTAAATGAAAGAGAAATGTAATTACTTCTGTAATTAATTACCTCTGCCTGTAGTGATAAAGCCAAAGAAAAAAAGGCCCCAACAACAGGCCTTAACAGAAGCCATTTTGACATGGCATTGCAGGGCAAAATTAATAACATCAATTAT